CTGGTTGCGCCGGAGCCAATGTACGGCATTGTACATATCAGAATCGCTCTCGCGCAAGGACCCAATGCTTGGCTGTTTAGTGTTTTTACTCTGCGCCATGGTCACTTTTTTTGTTGCAAATCATACGATGAGAAGAAATGCCGATTGACTGCAAAGTAACTTTGATTCTGTTTGCGCCGGAGCCAATGTACGGCATTGTACATATCAGAATCGCTCTCGCGCAGGGCCCAATGCTTAACTTTGATTCTGATTGCGCCGGAGCCAATGTACGGCATTGTACATATCAGAATCGCTCTCGCGCAGGGACCCAATGCTTAACTTTGATTCTGATTGCGCCGGAGCCAATGTACGGCGTTGTACATATCAGAATCGCTCCCGCGCAGGGATCCAATGCTCGGCTGTTTAGTGTTTACCATGGTCACTTTTTTGTTGCAAATCATACAACGAGAAGGAATGCCGATTGGCTGCAAAGTAACTTTGATTCTGGTTGCGCCGGAGCCAATGTACGGCATTGTACATATCAGAATCGCTCTCGCGCAGGGATCCAATGGTTGTTTTTACTCTGCGCCATGATCACTTTTTTTTCGTTGCAAATCATCCGATGAGAAGGAATGCCGATTGGCCACAAAGTAACTTTGAGAGGAAAAAAGGTGGACGTTTATGGGGAAAAAGCGGTAATGATAACCTTTCATCCGTGTGATAAGATTATCGAGCGAAAAAAGCACATGCCAACAACACGTTGCCGTGTCTAAGTTTATTGGAATAGGAAGTCTAGGAAAACGTTTGTAGATGTTTATGGAAAAGAAGCGATTAAGAGTTTTCATCCACGTAATAGGATTAGTACATATACCCTTGTGTAAATGCGTCTTATTACTACTTGTCTTATTCCCTTTAGTAGAAGATCCGCTAATCTAACTTAGATGTTGAGACATTATATGTTTATGATCCGTGTTACATTAGAATCGAGGCTTATTGGTAGGCATTGCGTGTAACATAGATAAGGATCAAATGTTAATCGTTAATGCGAATGTTGTAGGAATACCGTTAACAACCTCCTGCCCTCCTTGCTCGTGCCGACGTTTACTGACAGTGCCGGTGTTTGTTTCACCATTGAACATTGACATGCAGTTCCTATCCTCATGAAGGTAGCTTGCAAGACTCAAGCACTTCTTCTCTGTAACCAATCATTTCCATCAACATTTACCCCGTATTCAAACAATAGATGCCCCCCCGCCAGCCTGTTGAGGAGTTCACATTGAACAAGTTCGAACGTTCGGATACATCGCGAGGGCTAATGAATGCATGCACAACAAACATCAGTAAACAGTCGCTATTTAAGATGGATGGATGTTTGAGTGAAAAGATTAAGACCGGAAGAGATAAGCCTATACATAGTGTATGTTTTTTTGTTACTTCTCGTCATGAACAAGAACGGCCTTTTTAGTAGTTTACTGATTAAATGAAGTTTATGAAAAGTAATTATAATATTAACAAATTCATTATATATGCAATCGTTCAGCCACGGCAACTGAAGGAGGGAAAACGCTCTCGGAATGCCTCGGACCTTCCCAAGCGCGTCTATATATTGCGGCTGAAATAACAGAACAGGTTTCTGGGAAACTCATCCGGACGAAACGGCGCGATCGACTGTGGAGGGCCTCTTGCCAGCGAAATCATCAATAATCAGAACAATAGACAGACTACTTCTCACTTGTCTGTTAATTTCCTTCAAAAACATCCGATAGGCGCCCAGAGAGGCTACCGTTGTATATATTTCACCAAGAAGATTCGACGCGCCAGTCAATACAACTACAGAACCCATTGATAAACAAATCCCAGTCTTTATCAGCACTAACACTGTCGAAAAAGATCTAAAAGGCGAGGAGGAGATTGAGAAGGAAACTGGGAAGGAACTAATAAGGAAACTGAGGACGAATTCAAATTCGTTGATGATGTGGACATTAAAACTGCTCTAGGAATGAGGAATAGAGGGTTTATTATGTCCACCATCAGTCTGTGGGAAAAAAACTGCTAAGATTTACCGGATGTGATTTTTGATGATGGGGTAAGGATGATATCATTGGTGTTGTAGATACTGTAGTTGACATATAATACTCTGTCCATATTTGCTCAACGATTAGATTGAACCAAGTCATTTAATATTGATTCTTTGTCGTTTTTCAGGAAATTCAAATAACTGGCAAGAAACGTTATATCGAAGAAGCTAAGAAAAGGCTTAGAGCGCTGGAAAATATTGCGGTAATATATTAGATTTGCTGTTATCGTATATAATAATACATAATTATAACATAGTATGCCCTTTTAAAAACATCTAGCTTCGCCGTCGTAGACATCTTGGAATGTCGCTCTTACATTATCCTGACAAGACGGTCCGGTTTAATGCTAGTTTCGTTCCACTTACTAAGCACGACTATTTCAAAAACGTTGTTAGGAGAAAAAAAGCCTTTATCTTAGGAGCAGCCTCCAAAATGGAAAGTACGGTTTAACAAGCAAGCCGGGAAATTCGTTCAACACAGCAGAGAGCAACTCGTCAGGCTATTCTTTCCATCCCCTCAACCATCAGCATCTACTCAATCATCGGCATCTAATTTTCAGTCATCAGCATCTCTTCGTCAATCATCGGTATCTAATTTTCAGTCATCGGCATCTCTTCGTCAATCATCGACATCTAGTCTTCAGTCATCAGCATTTCGTCATCTCCTCAATCGTCGGTATATCCTCAGTAATCAAGCATTCTTTCAGTCATTCATCTCAATCGGTATATCCAGCATCTCTCAGTCCACGTATTGAAGCGGGGATCCGTCTAACAGACGAGGAAAAGTTGGCTCGGAAACAGGACAAGAAACAACAGCTAGCTAAAATGAGAAAAATGAGAGCTCTTGGCATAACTAATGATGGAAATGGTGCTGTATTCGGTAGTTCCAGACGACTGCCCGATGACAACACTTTCGACGACCAAGATCACAGCTGATCCATTGGACGAGTGGTTGGCTGATACTTTCGGCACCCCCATAATCCCAAATATCGTGAGTGAAAATACTGGTAGTGGATCCGAGCATATTCAGACTACTCCGGGCCAATTGTACGGTTTTTCGTGCTATGAAATCAATTAACCTAATTATACTTTTATCTTCTTTTTTGTTTGATATGATTAGACTGCGTGAATAATTTTGATCACAAGAAAATGATATTTTGAGAGGGCCCGCTATTACTACAGACTCGATTTTTTGGAAGGTAACTAGATTTCCATGTATTATCGAACATTGTCAACGAGTTTTGAGTTTACAATAATCACTAATTAGTAAACTCATCGGTTGCGCAATTTAGTCTGGGAAAGGCCGTTTTTCAAGAAGTCACCCAGGATATAGGAAATCGTTCTGGGAATACTTCGAGGTCGACAGCTCGAAGGATCGTTGCAACTAAGACATATTCTATAACGTGTAAGTGAGCGAAAGGATAAACACTTGCGCGTTCTACTATCTGCTTTTAAACCAAAGGAATGTCGCAAAGCTTTCATGCCGCGACATTGGAGAAGAATTTGTACCAACAGACCATGCGTATCACGAGAGAAGAATGAGATCGGGGGTATGCAAGGAATGTTCAAAAAGCAATACTACACCAAGGCACACGTTATCTGTCAAAAAAAGACGAGCAAGAGCCAATACAATTGGTTCGAGAGTCTGATTGACGAGCAGAAACAAATGATACATTGGCGCGCGATCGGACAGATATTGTAAATTGTGGTGCGTGATAACCATGAATCTCGTAAAATTTATAAATTCCCGAGGTAGCAATGTTATTAGTCAAATATTGCAGGCATGTAAAAAATATTAAATCATTTTATAAACCATCATATTAATATGGTATTTTGGGAATTTATGATAATAAAAACCATAATGTTCGTGAAGCATTGCCAAAAGTAATTTTCGACATTGAAGCTGCGATTCGATTAGATTGATAACATTGTGATATTCGTTCTCTTTTTTGTTTATTGCCAAAATTACTCTACACGTACATTCTGTCTCCGTCCATATAATTAGTTATCACACCTTTATTTAAAAGCACCGGACCATTATAAA